TCTCTTGTAGAAGTTGAAACTGCAACGCAGCCCTAGAGTTATCTTCAATGCTTCTTCTCCGTAGTTCTTCTTCAACATGATAATGAAAAGATTATCAAAATCTTTTTTGAAACTCAATGTTTGTACAAAAACAAGGAACTGTTAGACATTGAAAGATTTCATATCATCAATCTCAACATTATATCATCCAATACTTCAGAATTTTTTTATGGAGTTTGAACTTAATAAAATGAAACTCCATAATAGTGTCCTGGAGTTTTGAATTTACACAAGTATTAGAATCCTCAGCAAATGGGAAAGAGAAAATTAAACAACAATTATTATAAGGTAAATTATTTACTTAGCCGCTGGAATAGCTGACTTTTTTTTTTGTCTTCCTAATTAAATGATGCAACAAATAGCGTGTTTATATGAGCTTGTTAGATCTAGCAACATTTTGATCCGTTATGTTCACAGCAGCAGATACTACTACACCTTACAGTTATCCTCGAAATAAAATTACTACTATTTCATTGTTTCAATTTATGTGACAAGTTTGAAGATACGAATTTAAAAATAAAAAATATTGAATCCCATAGTAATAAGATTTCATGTAATATTTGTGTGATAAAATGAAATTTTGAGTTACCATTAAATTATTTCTAATTTTAGAGCTACCAAACGAACTAAAAAATTACTACCAGATAAATTGGAGCAGAAAGAGTTTCATTGTTAGGTATTTAGATAATCAAATATTTTCTCTATTTGACAGTGATGCTTTGGATTGATCATCTACTGCATGTGTCCTAAATTTCTTTATATTCGTTTTTTTTGTTATTTTTTAATCATTATTAATTAAAAGCAGGAGTTAGTTCGATATATATATATATATATATATATTCCGTCTCTTCTGAAATCCCATAAAATAAGAAGATAACAAAAGAAAAAGAAATTATTGATAGACCTGCTTTTGGATTAGAATTTGGCTTAAATTTTGGAAGAATTGATTATATGTGTTATCGATCAAAGAATTGTTTGTAAAAAAATATCGATCAACCTTTACTTATTTTTTTTTCTATTCTTAACAATAGACCAGTTGATCCCAAAAAAATAAATAATATTCGGTGTTCTGTTTTAGACAAATGTTATTTTTATTTGATGCCCATGACGGATGATGGACTGATAAGGGGCAGATCAAACATGACTGACAGGCTTCTAGGCGGGCAAGCTTCTGAAGAAGGGGTACATATGTCTCTGTAGGTGAATCTCACATCAGAATGGAAGAGAAAAGTAAAGAGCTTTATAAGACATAACACAAGTTTATATACTCGTGCTTTTGGCTTAGATGATGGCGTAGCCCAAGAGGCAAACTCGTGTGGTCTGTTAGGCCAAAGTGGACAATACGTATCATGGGCTTAAGTCATGACAAATGTGGTATCAGAGCCCAATCTCCTTCAGTATGATAGTGAGGCAAACTCAGCGATGATGTTGAGTCCCAAGGGAGGAGAATGTGATGCCCATGACGAAGGGCGGACTGATGAGGCGGGTTAAGCATGACTAGTAGGATTCTAGGCTGGCAAGCTTCTAAAGAAGAGGTACATATGTCACCTTAGGCGAATCCCACATCGAAATTAGAGAGGAAAGTGAAAAGCTTTATAAGGCATGTCACAAGTTCACATGATACGCACACGTTTGGGCTAGATGATAGTGTAGCCCAAGGGACAAACCCGTAAAGTCTATTGGATCAAAGTGAACAATACATGACATGGGCTTGGATCATAATATTCTCTCCAATAAAGAATATGAAATCATTAAAAGAAATTTTACCTCTTATAGCAAAGGTTTACACCTTATTTATTATAAATCAAAATCCTTTTAAAATATTATTTCTATAGCTACCTTTTATTTTTTATAGAAAAATATGTATTTATGGTATACACTACCGTTAATGCATTAAATATGTTGTATAATATTTTTCTCTCTCATTCATTCAGTTACTCCCTCCCAAAATCACCGCACAATATATCTTATTTCTCTCTCCACGATCTCTTTCTCACAGCAAGTTTGTCTTCCCCGTCGTTGAACCACGATTCTCTCACAATGCCATTGTCTCTCTCAATTTTTAACTTTTTTGCTCCAAAAAATTGTGGTAAGTGTTAAAGTTTTTGGGTTTTTGGCCGGTTAAAGCTTCTTCTTTTTATCTTCACTTATTTTTTTAAATATTCACCATTGTTAGGTTTTCAGCAGAAAACTTTAAATTTCCTCTTCAATGGCTGATTCAACAACTCCGAAGGGTTACAGGAGGTACACCAAATAAAGCACTCAATTTCGATGGGCCATCTTTCGATTTCATATCACTCAAGAGGAATTAGTATTTGCAAGTTCATCAGCAACCACTGAAGCCGAAAGGAGAACAAAAATACGCAATGACCCTATGAAACAAGGTCAAGATGAGAAATCTTCGAAAAAATCAACAGTTCCTGATGTGGAAAAGAGAAGAAAACTTATCGATGAATTTTCTGTTTTTATTTTTTTAAAATTTTTAAAAAATATTTTTCTTTGTACATTATTTATCTTTTATTTATCTACCTTTACTTCTTATGATTCCATGTAATTTCTTATATTTTATTTCTTATTTATTTTATTATTCTATTTTTGAAACTACATCTCCTAATATTAGAAATAATGAATCATTAACAAACTTGGCATACAATGAGTGATTCAATTAAATTAGATTTTCGTTGTTAAATGTGGTTATAAACTTATTATGTTTCCTAATCTTAAGTTGTAGTGGGACTTACTATTATTATGAGGGAATTACATATATTAAACTATTTTTTTTTAGATTTTGAAATTGTGTTATATTCATAGTTCTAATTTACTTGTTTTAGTAGTATTGGCTCACATTACATGTTGCTCATTTACTAGTTAGAATTGATAGATTAGTTTTGTCAAACATTTGAATAATGTTATGACATTATATTTATAAATATTAATATATTTTATCAAACATGCATTCCATGATGTTCTTACAAAACGTATATTTTTAATTTTTGTAAGTAACTAAACTAAATATTATTAATTTAGAATATATATATAAATTATTTTTACAATATTAGTTATAAATTTATTATTACTAATTAATATATATTCACGAAAAATACATCTTAAATACCAAATATAATATTATTTATACTTATAAAAATGATTTATAGGCATATATTTATTATATTAACTATTAAATTTTTATAATTACTTCATTTAAAATTTAATCTAATTGTATAATTACACTTGTGCAACCAAACAATAAATTTGTAATTACACTGTAATTACATTATGACAAACAAACAGGTTGTCATAATTATACAACTGTGTAATTACTAGACTGTAGTAATTACACCAATTCGCTTTTCAAATATACCCTAAATAAAGAGAAAATTTAAGATTTTCTTCAACTTAAGTTGGATTTATTGGCCTGAGTTTTCTAAAGTTACCAAATGAAAGAGAGAAAGAGTTCAAGATCGATTAAGTATAGGCAAGAAATATTCCTAATTAAAGATATTGTCATTTTTAAATTGAAATGCACAAGTTTTTCTCAATTTCTTTAAAAAAAGGATAAAATATTTTATGACTGAAAATCTATAGGATAATAGATAAAACACGGAAAACAAGATGAGATCATGATTAATCAGAAGTCAAAAAAATAAAATAAATCATGAATCAATCAGTTAACCGTGCTTTAATTTTGATAAGATGAGAGTCAAATATATGAATCTTTTAAAAAATTAGGAAAAAAAAAAAATCTTAAATTAACTGCTATAAAGATTGCTAGCCTCACGATTCATTTTTAAGTTCTAACTTAAATTAAACAACTTAGTAGGGCGGACCTTTATAATTTGAACTTAATAAACTTTTGAAATTCTGATTAAAATATACATTATATATTAAAATACTGAGTTCGAGTAAAGCCATGACTCTTTTGATAATAGTAAAATTTATATAAAAGACAAACTATTTTCATTCATTGGTTTAATACACCTACTACATTTTTTTCTATAGTTTGTCAGAAATAAACTAGCATTATTGCCTACAGGGGATGCTTGACTTGGTTGAGTGAACAACTTACATGAAAGACTTGAGATTGATTGCCTTCACGAGCAGACTTCTCAATCAAAGTTTGTTGGGAAAAAAAAACAGCATTATTCAATTTCTTTTAGTTCTAACAATGTTTTGCATCAAATAAACGTGCATTACTTATTCCTTCTTTTTTCTTGGAAGTTATCGGGAATTGCTCTAATGCTCCACTGGTTGAGCTTGCTCCTCTATCTCCTGATTAAGGACCCATTTGTACATAGATATTTTTTTCTATTATTTAAAAAAAAAAAGTGTTTGTCCATAAAATTTTACAAGTTTTTATAAATTTTTCGAAAATGAGCTTTTCAAAAATAAAAAAAATAGTGTTGATCACTTTTTTCAAAATTTTTAGAATTTTTTGTTTCTCCACTCACAAAACTGCAATATTTTTTCGAGTGAAATGCATGTCCAAATATAATTTCATATTCCAAATACCATTTTTCAACTTAACTCCAAAAACTACTTTTTTTTTCCTTCAAAAATTTCAATTTTTATGTCTAAAAAACGCCTGCTATATATACAAACCCCATTTTACTGTCATGAATATATTTTCTTTTTTTCTTGCTGTCATGAATATATACCATCTGTTACTAACATCTTTAGTCCTTTTTCAACCGTTAATAAAAGGGCTACCCCTTCGACCGTTCTTACGAGACGTATGGTAGGGCGTATAAGAATAATGTTGAATAAGGTGTATTAGTAATACATGAATTAAAAATTACTATAATACCAAAGCTAATGCATCCTACCAAACAACCCCAGTTAATTACCACAGGAATAATTCACCTACAAAGGTTAATCCCCTAAAACTATCTGATATTTACACATAAAATATACAAATATACATTACCCTTTTGTCTTCTTGAGAAAAGAAAAGGTTTGTTTTTATTATTTTAAAAATCCTCTTTAAGTAGTTCTGCATCTGAGTTGGCATTTGCCTGTGCTTTGCTAGATTTGTGCTGTTATGCAAAAAGAAACATCCTTTCCTCAAGAATGTGTCTTGTAATTTGCCTTCATTTCAAATGTTGGTGTCTCTCTTTCTCAGTCTTGGAGCATATTTAATCAAAAAGGTGCAATCTTTCTTCCTCTGTTGCAATTATTGAATTTCTATATCTTGTGTAAGATTAAATGATGAATTCTTGGAGTTTGTTTATATTGGTGTTGGGATTTTTGTGTGTGTCTGGGTTTAATCCATCAGATAATTACTTAATAGACTGTGGATCCACTAAAGATACTAATGTTGGTAATAGGGTTTTTGTCTCTGATAAATCAGCTTCAAAATTTCTTTCAACTGCTCAAAATATATTAGCTGATACCCCTTCAAACTCAATTACAAAGGCTAATGATTCACCTCTATATCAAACAGCTAGAATCTTTACTTCAACATCCAGCTATAAATTCCCCATTACTAAAACTGGAAGGCACTGGATCCGTCTTTACTTTTACCCATTTGAGTACAAAACTTATGATTTGAGCTCAGCAACTTTCTCTGTTTCCACACAACAGATTGTTCTCCTTGGCAATTTTAGTCCTAAATATGTTTCCTTTAAAGAATTTTCTTTGAATGTAACGACGAGTGATCTTGAAATCATATTCTCTCCTTTGGCTGATTCAATTGCCTATATAAATGCCTTGGAAATTGTCTCTGTACCCGATAGCCTTATAACTGATGACGCATCCACCTTTGATCCACCCGGGGTATTCAATGATATGTATGCACAGGCTTTAGAAACAGTTGCTAGAGTTAACATGGGCGGGCCCGCTGTGTCGTTTGAAAACGATACGCTATGGCGAAGTTGGGTTCCTGATAAAAGTTACTTAATACAGCCAGATTTCGCCAAGTCCTTGTCAAAGATTGGATCTGTAAAGTACACTCCCGGTGGAGCAACATCAGATATTGCACCACCGACTGTGTATGGTACGTGCACTAAGATGAATGTGGATGCTTCTGGTAATGATGCCATTGCTAATTTTAATGTGACATGGGCTTTCAATGTGGACAGAGGTTTCCAGTATTTCATTCGCTTACACTTGTGCGACATAGTGAGTACAGCTGCTAATCAGCTGTTGTTTAATGTTTATGTTGATTCCTCGAATGCGGCTTCTGATTTTGATCTGAGTTCTAAAGTTCAAGGCAGATTGGCCACTGCATATTACATGGATTTTGTTACACCACCAGCTAATAGCAACAACCTTAGCATTAGTATCGGCCCATCTTCAAAGAGTGCTTATCCAGATGCCTTTCTAAATGGATTGGAACTGTTGAAGTTGAATAATACTCGGGGCAGCCTTGCTGATATGGCCTCTGTTCCTCCGTCCACAAGCTCGGGCTCGAAAAACAATATCGGAGTCATCATTGGTGTAAGCGTAGGTGTAACACTTGCTTTGCTCATGGTTGGTGTTTTGTTTTGCATGCACAGAAGAAGAAAGCAGGAGCAACTTCGCTTGTCAAAGATGTGGATTCCTTTGTCTATTGGCGGGGGCACGTCTCATACTATGGGAAGCAAATACTCGAACGGGACAACCATGAGTGCAGCTTCTAACTTGAGTTATCGCATACCTTTTGCAGCCATGAAAGAAGCAACCAAAAACTTTGATGAGAGTTTGGTCATTGGGATAGGTGGATTTGGAAAGGTATTCAAGGGTGTTTTATACGATGGTACAAAGGTAGCTGTTAAGAGGGGTAATCCCAGCTCCCAACAAGGTCTTAGAGAGTTCCAAACTGAAATAGAGATGCTCTCTCAGTTTCGCCATCGTCATCTTGTTTCGTTGATTGGATACTGTGATGAAAAAAATGAGATGATTCTTGTGTATGAGTACATGGAAAATGGAACCCTCAAGAGCCATTTGTATGGTTCAGATATGCCGAGTATGAGCTGGAAACAAAGGCTGGAGATATGCATTGGGGCTGCCAGAGGTCTACACTATCTTCATACCGGCTACGCGCAAGCAGTTATACATCGTGATGTCAAATCCGCAAACATATTGCTTGATGAGAATTTGATGGCAAAAGTTGCTGATTTTGGACTTTCTAAGGCAGGACCTGAGCTCGATCAAACCCATGTTAGCACTGCGGTGAAAGGGAGCTTTGGGTACCTAGATCCTGAATATTTCAGAAGGCAACAATTGACGGAAAAAAGTGATGTTTACTCTTTTGGTGTTGTTCTGTTTGAGGTTCTTTGTGCTAGGCATGTCATTGATCCATCTCTTCCGAGGGAGATGGTCAATTTAGCTGAATGGGCGATGAAGTGGCAGAAGAAGGGACAACTGGAGCAAATCATAGATCGGAATCTTGCTGGAAAAATAAGACCAGATTCCCTCAGGAAGTTTGGAGAAACAGCAGAGAAATGCTTGGCTGATTATGGCGTCGACAGGCCTTCAATGGGTGATGTTCTATGGAACTTGGAGTACGCGCTTCAATTTCAAGAGGCTGTTATTCAAGTTGATCCTGAAGAAAAGAGTACAATTCTCATAGGAGAGCTCTCTCCTCAAGTGAATGATTTCAGTCGTATTGATGCCAATGCTTCTGCTGAGCAGTTTGAAGCGTCAAATCTGGAGGATCTATCTGGAGTTTCCATGAGCAAGGTTTTCTCACAATTGGTTAAGTCTGAAGGAAGATAAACAAGTGAAGATGGTATATATATTGTGCTTTAGCTTCTCACTTTATTCCACTTTTTGTTCATTAATCATGCGAAGATTGAATTTTTTTTTGTCATAGTTTGTTCTATGAATTGGTAAATTTTACAGAAAAAGTCACTTCCACGTCTGGATACTTTTTACCTGTCTTTTGATCTATAATTTTTTATTTACTACATAGTTTTGAATATTTTTTTGATGTGTTAAATCACTCTTGGAATGTCATGTCTAAAAGAAAGAGGCTTATGAAATCATAAAAACAGTTATGAGCCTTTTGGAGTCCTTCAAAATAGACCTGATCATCAGAAGCCATTAATTTCTATCCTCCATTTTCATCTTGGAATTCCCAATCAATTAATCAACTACACCTCAATCACAAATTAATCGGGGTCAAATATATGAATAATCTATATTGACTGCTCTATCCGCGTCCATTGTATTCCAATATGAAAAGGAATGTCTTTTAAATCAAATTAAGGGCTCTCTAAAACGGGTCCAAGGGTAGATTCCGACTACCCATAACTTCACGAGTCCATATATGTATATAATTAGTTTCAAAATTCGAGTCCAAATCGACTCTCAAATTCAATTTCTTATTTTTTTAAAAACTTCACAAATTTTCCAATTTTTCCTCTTTGATTCACATAAATTTGATGTTAAATCTAACATATATTCATGAAATATAGTTAAAAATTGATTAAAATCACTTACATAATGTTTGTAGATAAAAATACTCTCCAAATCGCCTCCTACCGAGTCTAGAGTTCTAAAATGCGAGAAATGATACTAAATCCCGACTTTCCAACTATTATGTCCAGCTGTAGATATCGCATTTGCGACACAGTGCGCGAACCCTCGCAATTGCGGATTAGGGATCACATTTGCGAACCCTGACAACCTCAACAAATGTTGCAATTGCGACAAAGGCTTCGCAATTGCGTAACTGGACAACTTCGCAAAAGCGACCAAGTGGACGCAAATGCGACCCAAGCCCTAGGCCTACTGACTTCGCAATTGCGAAGGGGTAAGTCTTAATTGTGACGTCAGACCACCTCATGTCATCTTCGCAATTGCGAGGCTGGTGCTCGCAATTGCGATAATAGAGCACCGGCACACCAAAAATCCCATTTTCTACTCAAACCATTCTAAAACGCGTCTGAAACTCATCCGAACCCTCAGGGCTCCAAACCAAACATCTACACAAGTTTAAAAATATCTTACGAACACGCTCGCACGATCAAAACACAAAAATAACATCTTGGAATTACGAATCGAACACTAAAACGCATGAGTTTCAAAGTAAAGTTCAACAATTACTAGAACTGCAACTAATCGTCTGAATCCTATCAAGTCAACTCCCAGTGATACCAAATTTTGCACACAAGTTCTACATAGCATAACGGACCTATTGCAAGTCTCAAAATCAAATTCCGAACCTGATAGATAAAAAGTCAACCTACGATCAAATTTCTAAACTCCAAATTGCCAATTTTCGGCAAAACAACATAAATCAACCTACAAACTTTCGAATTCGATTCCGAGCATACGCCCTCGTCCAAAATCACGACAAAACTATCGGAGTCGTCAAAACACTGTTCCGGGGTCGTTTTCACAAAAGTCAACCATTGGTCAACATAAGCAACTTAGGCTTCTAAGCCAAGAATCAAAGGGTCCAAATCAACCCGAAATCTTTCTGGTACGAACCCAATCAACCCCGTAAGTCATAAAACTATAAACACATATGTGTGAAGCATCAAAAGGAAAAAAAGGGCACAAATATACAAAACGACCGATTGGTTGTTATAATTATAGAGTGAAGTAATTTAAAAATTGAATCCCGAGTCAATTATCTTGCACCTATCTAGTCAATTACTCATATTTCTCTCATTGATATCTCCTTGTTGCTCAGCTGTTGTCTTTCGTGATCAATTGATAACTGCTTAACTTTTTAGTAGTTAATCATAATTGATAATCATTCAATCAATTATTAATTTTCATGTATAGTAATTAACTAAAGACTATACTATCTTTGAATCGTGAGCAATAATTTTTGTTGTATTTTGCGCTCGTCAATAATCCATAAGGAAACAAGATCTAACATCAAAATCAAGTAGAGTTTACTTACCCTCCAAAGTGTGGTGAAAATTCCTCAAAATGTCGCCTGTAGCCGAGATCCAAATCTCTGAATAATGAAAAATGAGTTAACCCTTCGAAATAATAAACTGCCCAGCGATCTCTGCATCTGCCGGTAAATACCTCGCATTTGCGAGCCCCCAGGTGCAGTCAAAAGACAATCATCCCCTTCGCTCCGCCGACCAGACCTCGCAGTGGAACTTCATCGCAAAATCGGCCTTCGTATCTACAAACCTTCCCCGCAGGACCTTCCCTCGTAAAAGCGGCCAACCGTTACAAAATCGACGACTACCCAACCAAGCTCCTCTTCGAATTTGCGCACCCCTTTCTCGCATGTGTGATTCGCACCTGCGCACCTTATCTCCGTAGGTGTGATGCACCAGCACCAGCCTGCCAATCATTTTCCAAATAGTCTGAATCTAATCCGATACACACCAGAGCGCTGTCGGGCCCCATCCAACCATATCAACAAGTCTTTATACATCACCCAAATATATCCAAATATTCAAAACACTTAAATTAATTTCAACACCATGAACCGTCGATTAAGATTAATCTCTTAAATTCATAAACTTCCAACTTCGAACCAAACGTCCGATTCAAGACTAACCAACGCGGAATGGATCCAAACTTTATACACAAGTTCGAATGACAAAACAGACATATACCAGTTCCTAGAACAACAATCTGAACATGATAACCTCAAGCTCAAAGTTAACTCTCTGTCAAACTTATGAATTTTCCAAATATTTAAATTTCCAAGTTTCGCCAATTAGAGCCAAATTAACCTAGAAACCTCCAAATCCGAATGTGGACATACGCCTAAGTCCAAAATCACCATATGAATCTATTTGAACCATCAAAATATAAATCCAAGATTGTTTACTCAAAAGTCAGACCTTGCTCAACTCTTGCAACTTAAGCTTCCAACCATAGATCTAAGTGTTCCAATTTATTCCAAAACCTTCCCCAAACCAAACCAACTACCCCCCGCGAGTCACAAAACAAATTACAAACATATGAAAAGTATCAAATAGGGGAATGAGATTCAAATATACAATGACTAGCCCGGTCGTTACAAGTCTAGAAGGATGGGAAGGTGAGGGTTGGAGGCACCAGGCCAACGGTTGGCATGGTTGCTCTGGGGCCTTTACAATCTGGATAAAATGAGAGAAAGAAACATAAGTTTTGGGCAAGTTTTTGGGATTTTAGAGCGAATTAAGGAAGAGCATATCTCTTATCAATACTCTTTTAGATGAGTTTTTAGTGATTTGTATCAATGTTGATTAACACTAGTAGTAATAAGATTCAACCATGGTAAATTGTTAGATTCTTCCAAATCCTTCAAGAACACCAAAAGGAGAAAAGGTGAGATTCTTCCTCCAAGAGGTAATCCTTTTACCTTGTTTTATATATATGATATGTTGAAGTATTAGTAGCAACTTTGTGAAATTTAGTTGAATTTGAATTAGAGTATTGTATGAACACTAGGAGTGGATCTTGAAAATGGTAATCTGGATGAAAAAAAGAGGCGAATAGTGATGTGTTGATACAAATGGGATTGGCTTGAGTTTCTAATGATTCCAATAGAATTTATAACTTAATTTATGAATGTATTAAAGTGGGAATCACCTTTTGGTTGAGAAATAATACTAGTTCTTGAAATGGGTATCTATGAACTAGGGTTCATCGGGGAAGATAATGAATAACAACTTGGTGATGCTGGGTAGTTGATGTAGTATCATTTATGAATTAAAATAAGTATTATATGATAAGAATGTAATTTAATAGGTAAATGAGTGAACCTATTGGACGATTTGAGTTGTAGGATGTTTGTAGCGAACTTACAAGTCCTAAATGGATATTGATAAATATATTGGATTATGTTTTGATGTATTTAGGATATCTAATTGTAGATATTGAATTATTTGTAACGTTTAGGCATTTTATTAATTTGGAGCATCGTAGCATTATATGGAGCTTGAAGCTTGATGTTTGGCTATAATTTTATATTTTATTGCATTACTTACCTTACATTTTGGTGCTTTAATAATAAATTGTACATTGTTTGAGCTTAGTTTACTTTATGTGAAGGACTATTTTAAAGCATAGTAGAAATAAAGTTGCACGTAAATATGTTGAAAATACAATAGTGGAGTACGAAAGAAAAATTGGCAAGGCACGAAAGAGACCTGACCTTAGACCAGGACCCAAAGTTTGGATTCATTCCAGCAAGAGAATTTTTTTGAAGAAGTGGAGATTTTGAGCCAAACTTGGCTAATGGAACAAGCTCAAAAATTAGAAATTTCTGAGGTTAAACATGAGAAAGTTACAATTGGGATGTGACATTTAATAGAAGAAAGATGTGAGCTTGTACCAGAGATCAACAAATTTGACAATACCGCTATTCATGACTTTAGGGACAATTTGAAAAGGTTTTGTGTCAAACGCCCAATAAAATAGTTATGAGTTGTGTGAAGCTGAAAAAGAACTTATAAGCCAAATTGAGGAACTAAAAGTGGAGGTGCAGCCATTCAACAATATTTTTATTGATGATGCCAATATTGAGAAAAGTACATTAGAATCATGTGAAAAGTAGATAATGTTGCACTTGAAGACTTTACCGTGTGTATACATGAGGGTATAAATAGCAAGGGAATTCTGGAGTTGGGACACATTGGTCCTCATTCCATACATTTTTCAATATTGTGTTTAGATGATAACATGGAAATCGAGTCATCCAAATCTTTGGAGGAGCCAACAGACGAGAAACAAGGTGCTTACATTCTGGAATTTTTTGTGCCAGAGAGAAAGAATTACATATCTCGATTAAAGGCCAAGAAGTGCAGAATACTATATTGGTTACATGGCCCAATTAGATTTAACCCACCACACCGGGAGCATCCCGAAAAGTTGAAGCCAAATTTGGGGTTCAATTCATAAGTTCAACTTGGAGGCAAAAAGTGATTCAAGTTTGTCCGGCACAATTATCATACTTGGGAGAC